TTTCTCAGGAACTGACTGTTCCGTCAATTTTGGCCGTAAAGAATTGATGTGGCGTGCTGGTTACCCAAGGTTAAGTAGGGTTGCTTTGGTGCAAGAAATTTATACAATTAGGATCTCATTAGAGCAAATATTACTCGTTCTTGGAAAAACTGTATGTACCAGCTTTCGTCTTCATTATATTGGCATAAAAATGTCAAAATGTAGATACTGCCGTCTACAGGTATTTTTGAAAACAGAGCATCCCACGGAACCACCATAATCTCTAAACAGCATGGTACGTTACGTTACATTGCTACATTCTGATTGTGAAGTTAATTTTCTGAAGTATGTTTCCGCTTCGAAAGAAAAGACACCTTAATAGGTTTGTTATATTAATTATTGTACCGCTTTATCCTAAGATATTTCAACTATATCGGGATGCCGATTTTTGAGTGAGCATGTTTCCAGCCGTGGTAAAAAAGACTACGTTCAGTAACAACGACTACTTAAGAAGTATGTGTTTCCCTATTGATTTTCAGTGTCCATATAGAGTTGAATGCACTGAGTGAGTAGAAAACTACGCCTACTTCGAACTTTCATCTGTCGGTCTTAAAGAAAGGCTAAGTATGAGATTTTTAAGACAGTTAAACTTTTATTCATAAAGCGCCACATCCTTCCATTTAATAATACTGCTTATATGATACACAGTATGGTACATACGTACTACAAAGCCTTATGAGCGCTATGCCACGGCGTCATCATAGCGAACCGAAAGATGTGGTTTTCTTTAGTAGAAATGTATACAGCATGTGGTTCAGAAACCCAGGATGCAAACGTAACGTCAGGTCAAATTTAAAATTATTCAGCTATTGAATTTTTTAAACCAAAGAACTTCTTTCGAGTAAAATATTGGAAGAAGAGGACCTAATTTTCTACTAAACGATTACGAGGAAAAAATATTATCACGGACCTTTTCCACAAAGCATGGTTACATTTATGTGGACCTTCAAAAATCAGTGAGAAGAATTCATACTAATTATGTAGTCTTACAACTCATTTAAGTAATATTTTCGAACGAAAACATATAAGAGCACTTCGGGTAACATTTCAAAGGGCAACACATCTGCCCCATACACAGTAACTCATTGCCCCTTAACCAGTCTGCTCTTCTTAATCACCAACATGAAAGCAACGTTCATGGGTGGGAATACAGTAGTCGCCGGCTATTAAGCCCACCTCTGGCCCAGACCAAATTGGG